ATTGATTGATTGATTGATTGATTGATTGATTGATTGATATTATCCGCTCTTGATTATACTGTAGTATGAATGTGTAATGGGTATCATTGTGTTTATGTTATCATTATGTGTCTACAGTGAATTTGCACCCTCTATTTGTTACAGATAGACAGTTAAAAGAAGTTATGGCAACAGGGTCAAGTTTTATTGGTTCAACAGTTTCTGTGGACTGTGGCAGCATACTAGGCACGTATCAAGGTGAGGTGTGTGATGTCGGTGCGGACGATCAGACTATATCCCTAGTGAATGCATTCAGAAATGGTCTAAAGTGCAAGATTTCCAAACTTACTCTCAGGTAAGTGAGTTAGCATATCATTACTTTTGAAATTCATTCTTAAAATAACTACATTATGAATTTGCTGAGAATTTAAACTGTTTCTCGTGATTTTTTATGTGTAAAGTATTTAAAGGGTTTATTGCAAAATTATTGGTCAAAAACACTCAATCTGAAAAAATATAGCGAAATATAGTCTTACCTCACAGCAGATATATTACTGATGACACCAATTTTTAAAAAAACGGGAGAATTCATGAAGTTATAGCATAGAATCTTGGATTTGAATACATCGTAACACCATGGCATATTTGATTATGGCAACACTCAATTTACAAATGGCACATTCAATTTTTCAAAACAAGTGCACCCATAGTGCATCTGATTACTACAAATGGGCATTTGATTCTGTGTAGTTGACTCCGTTTGTCTTTTGAAATTGGGTGATAATTAACTGACGCTCGTCCGAGATTTGCAAGAAATGGCGGCGGTAATCAAAACAATTATTCAAAATTTGAATCGTCCATGTTTTGGAGAATGTAGCTCAGTACGAAGGTTCTAAGACATTTTATAGTTACTCTAGACAGTTGCTGTTACTCAAGCAATAACGGTAAGTGTCGTAAAAGTGGGGAAAACATGAGATTATGTTCGAAATAAATGCTTTAATACAACACTTAAATATACATCACTGATCTTTTCAAACTACTTGCCCCCTTTTCACGATTTCAGTGCAATTGATATACAAGAGTTATCAATAATAACATCATCAATAGAGGCCAAATCAAGCCACGGCGTGATTGGCAGCAATAGGGCAGACACAGCAAAGGATGGTCTTCCCCCGCTGTCACGCAGCAGCCTACCCCCAGCAGCAGGAAGCAGTGTTCCGACTGCTTCTAGTTGTTCCTCTGCACTTCCAAGTAGCTCGAAAACCAGGAACTCCCCTGCAAAGCTGTCAGAAAGACGGCGTGTATACTCTGGTAAGGGGAGTGTTAATTTGGTACTAACAGTTAAAGGTAGATTCCCTCGAACTTTCAAGCGGCAAACATAAAATCAGGCAAAAATTAATTATTTTAACATTGCACGTTTGTACTTGCCTATATATGTGTGATAGGTAAAAAAGATGCTCGGGAATACGTTCATTCGAAGCTTTTAGACTACAAAGTGAAACTTTTGGGTTGAATGTTTCCCATCGTTTACTTTTGCTGCTATGCGGCGATTGTTCAGCTCCGCGCACTGGCCGTGTTATGTATGTATGAACCATTGTAATACAAAAATAGTAATGTAATACAGAAATATGGTAATTACATAATAACCAAATTTAGTCAGCGTACGGGGCAAGTCTGTTTAAACCGCGGATCACCGACGCGCAACGACCCCGTGGCCATCTTGAATTTTTAGCAATATCCTGTGACCCTATCTTCAGATACATGCATTTTTTCACTGAAATAATCACATCATTAGATTCTGCAAGTCAAAAAACATATAAAAAGACACTCTATTCATGTTTTTGTGTCAAATATTTACGAATATGTAATGCTGTAATGTATTAATTTTACTTTGAGGAGTCCACATTTTAAGTTACAATGAGCCTAAATTTGTTCGAGACCTCCCACGATGCTTTGCAAATGAGGGCTATATATATTACCGGTACCTTTAAAGAAAAAAGAGATTCCATTCCTTTTTTTTATCTCAGACTCAGTATCCATAAAAAGAAACATGTTTTACTCAGTGAATGGTTGTAATTCCAGTAAATGAGAAGTTTAAATTTTGTTTTGACATAAATTTAAGCGATAGGCCCTACATAAAGATATAATAGTTGAAGCTACGTACCATACTTTAACATATCATAGCTGAAGCTACCATACTTTAACATGTTAAATTCTGAATATATTGTTTGCCCCCCACCCCATCCTCAAAATGGATCGAAGCCCCTGATGGAATACAATCTACGATATACACGATAAAGTCAAAAAAGCATTATTTGAAATGGAACGTTTTGAAAATTCATCGACCTCTTGTGATCAGATGACCTAGTTTATGGCATGTAAACAATACAAACAATAGTTGATACCTGCAATTAAAATGCGCGAAAATGAACCTTTTCTAGATCAAAAATACGAAAAGTTCCTACCGTTGAACGGGATACCTCCTTCCAGCTCCCCCCCTCGGCCGCTTCGCGGCCTCGCAGGCTCTTGAACCACATCTGGTCCCCCCTTTTTTTAAATAGATTTGCGTCCCTCCCTCCCCCAATTTCAACTCTCAAGTGTCACATATACCTACCCTATTTTGTAGGGAATGCCCCCCGGGGGTTACACTATAGATATAGAATACAGAATCTGTATTCCATATTTATGGCTACACAGGTACCGTAGAGGTAGAGCTAAGTGCATGGTAGCAGAGCACGTGCTCTGGTGGGAACAAACTTTGTAATGTTACTAATGTACCGCTCCATTCGCTGGGCGGCGCCACCATACACAATTTAGCCTTTAGGCCACTGTGCTTTAGGCATTTAGGCACTTAAATCAACGTGTGCTCTGAGCATAGTCAGTGTCAGTGTCAGGCCCACTGATCTCTATAATATAATCGAGATCATAGAGACAACATGTCAGCCTGTCACAAACTCCACGACAGATCGCATCTCGCTCATGGCTCAATACGTGTATGCCTGAGTCGACAGGGGACTTGCAGTGCGTACAAATACTGTGTAATGTGTATTTATGAAAAAAATATACTAGTTAGACTATTATATAGTAAATTTTCATATGCGTTTGTAGTCTGTGCAGAGTTAGCCTATGATATACTGCTTCGTCTGTGCAGCTTGGCATATGACGCCTAGACGCTAGACTGGTACCGCATCCCACCCGATTACTCATACCGCTCCCATTGATACAAAACAAAAGTGACGGTACCAGTCAGAGAGCGTCTTGATCGAAGCGCCCCTAATACTGTCAGTATCCAATAGGAATTCATTTTATCGTTTGACATCGGCCATTGCGTTGGATTGAGCGTGCAAATAAAAATACATCATTTATTTAGTACAACAGTATATTAGAACTAGAAAGAACTGTTCTGCGTTAATATTTACATCTTGATCTTGAGTTCAGAATACATGGCAGCAAGAACAAGTCGCATCTGCAGCTACAGCACACACGGCGGCCACAGGCACTTGAAGCATTTCAACTGTAGCTCTATAGTAATACTAAGCCTGCGCAGCGATCCGCGGGCCCTATAGTATAACTATCACTGAAACATACCGCGCCGCCATTGCGCATACGACGACCATAAATATAAATGCAGATGGCCCGGTAGTAGGCACGTATCTTATGCTCGAGCACGACGGAGCCATTCGCTTCAAATAACGAGACAAAGATGGGCGACGGTTGCCTATGACTTCGAAATACGGCCTGGAAATAAACTCACGATTGAGAGTTAGATGAGCTACGAACCCTAAACCTAACCCTAAACCTAACGCCTACATACTAAATTAACCTGAAGCTAAACTAACCCTACCCTAACCCAACCCTCAACCCTCAACCTACACCCTAACCAAAAAGGGCTCAACGACGACGCTACCGACCCGTAGCACTGCGTAAATATAGTATTGTTTAATTAATATAATTTATGTTCAGTGACGGCCGCATGCCGCGGGTGTGTTTACGTTGAAAGACCTCAAGTGCCGGCACGCGCCATGCATAACCACTAATTAATATGATACTTATAAATTTAGTTATATCCTACACAACTATACTCAGGATAGAGATAATTAGTAGATCCTAGGATATACATAGATATTTCATAAGCTATTTATATTATGTAGTCTGTTATTAAGACCGTTCGAATCGGCGCCGGTGGCAGCCTGTAGCTGCATCGACTGGTTCTGCGCCAGTGTCAGAATGGCGCAAATATTGGAACCAGTGCAGCTCTAAATACCAAAATAATGTCATAGGCATAACGGGCAAATTCTGCCTTAGCTCTGCGGGGCGTGTAGCCCCTTACTCCCCTGTATAGTACAGACCCCCCCCCCCCTACACAGGCACTCGAGCGTCTCCAAAAAAAAGTAAACACAAATGATATTACTACGATCTTAATTTCTCTACCTGCTATTCGCCTATCATTCCCGATAATACCCGTAAAGTGCCGGTCAATGCTCATTCCTGCAACACACATGCTTGACCGCACGCAGTGCCGACTGATGTGTACGCCGCGTAATGTATGACGCAGCGGTGGGGCCATGCTGAATATTAGGCGCCCCCGCTGCGACTGCACGACACAGATGGTGTGATACGTCGTGTGCAGGCATTCCCAGCACCGATGCGCGTGAAAGAAATGAGTCATGAATACCTTGTGCGTTCTAATGACTGCGAGTTTGTGTGTTCTTTGCCCTGTGCGCAGATGACCATCCTGATACGGACTTGGTGCAGTACTCCAGAAGAGTTTGTTGAGAAGTTAATCGCTCCTTACGGCGTAGTAAGATTGTCCAATAAGTGCATTGTAACATGCAGTTATACGCGTGTTCTATGCATACATCGTTCAGACGAATCTAGCGCGCGCGTTGGTCATTCAATGTTTTGATTTTTTTAAACAATGGGTCCAAAACGGCAGCTACTCTACTGAACGGATGAGAGATTTGTATGCTCGTGGCGTTTCAGCTTTGGCGCGTATGCTAAATACTTGACCGAGCTAGGGTGCTGTGGCCTTTCGCGACATAAACTATTGATATATATTTAACCGCTATAGAAGCAGGTGATGTGGCATGTAAATTAGGGGCTCCCGCTCGCGACGCCGACACAGATGGTGTCGATTACGGTCCTGTTCAGGCCATCCATTCAGCCGATGTCTGAAGAATGAGTTCTTAATCCTCTGTTGAGCTCTAATACTGCGAGTTGGTTGTTTTGTCTCCTGTGCGCGATGGACCCACCTGATGTACTGGACTTTTGGGATCAAGTACCCAAGAGAATTGTTGAGAAGCTGAGTTTGGCTATTCAGCGCTTTGGCGTCACAGATGTTCAAATTAATTAGACGAAGCTAAGGGCGTGCTTTCGCACATAGAGAGTATTGAAATACTATTTGTCCACTTCAGGGCGTTCGACCGAACAAGGGTCCTGCATTTAGGTAAATATCCGGCAATCAATAGGCGAAATAGAGTGAAAACATTAGCCCATTGATAGTAAATACATTTCGTGTTATTACCATATTTTTTTGAACGTTCCAAAGTGCCCGTCCCCTGCAGTACAGGGTTCCCCTCAATAGCGGAGCGAAGGGCACACGTAGAGCACATAACGCTCATCGACGGGATATCGTTGAGCATCGAAACAGAGCGTTGGCCTCGGGCTATATGCACAGAAAAACAATGTAGCACACAACAGTTCAAAGTAAAACTTTATATCATACAAACGATCTATCAGTATCACCCTGAACAAAATGTAAGACTACGCCCAAAAAACGTCATACTCAAGAGACCTGTAAGTGTATATGACTTAGTCTTTATAGTCAAACAGCCTGCGGCAATGGTAACATCATAGACTCCGAAAAATTTGTTTCACTACAAACTGTAAATATATCAGCTCTATAGAAAGCCCTGGCTAGACGGTCAAAATCCACTTTAAGCCAATTAGGTATACAAAGTATGCACAGATTCTGTTATCATCCACTAGCACAGATACTCC